AAGAAAGAAAGAAAGAAAGAAAGAAAGAAAGAAAGAAAGAAAGAAAGAAAGAAAGAAAGAAAGAAAGAAAGAAAGAAAGAAAGAAAGAAATATCTGTAACTGTGACTCTTTTTATGGAGCTATTGTGTAATGGAGAACTCATCAAACAAAAACCTTCTTTCTGGCTGTGTTGGTTTCCAGCCTGCAAAGCTGGGGGCAGGCAGAGGGACTCGAAACTGGCCTACCCTGGGCTCCAGTGCTGGAAGAACAGGCCTGGGAATTCCCATGGCTACCAGGCCCCTTGGGGCATCAGAACCCAAAACTGCCCACCGCTTTTGAGTAGACCTTGAGAGGGGGGCTGTGAAAAGTGCTTGTTCGGAACAAAAAAAGTGATTTGTCTCCAGTCTGCCACTCACTTGAGCTCCTGGTTTTCAGGTGAAGAACTTGTCGGCTCCAAGGCTGAGAGGCGGGACTCCCGGGATGTGGGTGAGGAGAAAGAGCTGTTGGATTTTGTGCCGAAGCTAGACCAAGTGTAAGATGGGTTCAGTGTGGGTGGGAGGATCGTGCTGTGGATATCCAGGTGCAGCTCCAGGGTTCAGAGTAGAGAGGTAGAGGAAAGCCAGGCCTGGGGTGTGCCTAGGGAAGGAGACGGTTCAAGGTGCAGGGGGGCCACGGGTCAGTTTGTGGAGAAGAGAGTCATTTTATCATATGTGATGAGGTGAGGCGTGAGCAAGCCAGGTCATTACAGATGGACTGAGGTTTGTCACTTAGGTCTCTCAGGAATGATGGAGGGGTCTGCTTCAAATATCCTGCTCTTTGATTGTCTAATGTTCCTGGTTCACAGGGTGGAATCTCCAGCCATTCCAAGGATCCCTTGTGTCACACCTGAGACTGTGGTCATCCGATCTGAAGACCCGGAACAGGTAAGGAACTCTTGGTCTCTTCCTTTCGCAGAGAGTGAGGACATTCCATGATTGTGTTCCTATGACCTGGAGAAAATAGGAGCTGAAGTAGAGAGGCTCACACCTTCAGACCCATGATTCCCTGTGTTCTGTAGAGCCCAGGACGGTTGGCATACTCATTGTGCCTCCTGTGAGTTCCAGGAGCCTCACAAGGCTCCGAGTATGAGAAACATCATCATAACATGCAGGAAGATGTTCAGGCCATGTTCAATTGTGGGACCGGGAAGGAAGCCTTCCCCCTGTGATGGACATCGGCTTCCTCTCTCTTGAGAAGGGGTAACTGTGCCTCTCCTCATCTTCCCCCATTTGATAACGGGAGCCAGAGACCCCAACACTGACAGAAAGGTGTCAGAGCACTGTTGTCGATGTAACCGTTGTTCATGACAGTACCCTGGTTTGGGCCTTCCTAGCCTTCCACTGGAATTCGTCCAAAAAGGTAGATAGAGCTGGAGGATGAGAATGATTTCAAATAGTTTAATCTCTTCTGGTTCAAGATTAGGCCACTGGCACTTTCCTCCAGAGCAAGCACATTTCCTAGGGAGATGAGAGAATTGATGTGGTGTTGAAGGCTGGCCATGTCTGCCCTCAGGCCTGATAGCCGAGGTGGGCTGAATCCCTGCCCCCTCCACAAAGGGATGTGAGTCTGAAAATACACTGGGGCATCAGCACCATACAGCATTGGTGGTGGTGCACATTTGAGAGATAATCTGATGGGACCCTTGTACCACTCTGACACTGTCCCTGGATGCTGTCAAAGCAACAGGAACAAGCCCAGGGGACCTGAGTGAGTCTTGTCCTGTAACCCCCCTATTCTCTTCACCACCCCTCAACACACACACACACACACACACACACACACACACACACACACACACACACACACGGAGAGAACCCAGGGGTTTGTACTTGCTAAGCAGAAGCCTGACCTCTCTTTCCAAGTCTTTGCTTAAGTTAAAAACCCACTCAGAGGTATACATTGCATTTCTAGTAATAGCCCATCTAGGGCTCCATGTAAAGGGTTGGGTTCAGTTGTCTCCTATGAGCTGCCATCATCTCTGGGTGTGGACCTAGATGCATGGTTTTTTGTGAGGCAGCAAATAGTCTCCTCCCACCAGTGAGGGGTGGGAAGCCCCGCAGAGGCTAATGGGTTCACCTCACAGACACACACACACACACACACACACACACACACACACACACACACACACACACACACAAAGTGCCAACAGGGCAAGTTGCCTTGAGGTGACGGTGCAGAGCCTAGAACCAGCTCTGGAGAGGAAAGCATGGGGAACGGCAGAGAGAAGGGTGGACGGGTGAGCTGTATATGCACCAAGCAGAGGACAGCTAGCAAGGAGAGACCCCGAGGGGGAAGCCATGTTCCTTTGGGGGTCAGAGTTCATTTCACGGAAGCGGTTTCTTCCAGCTGCGCTGCAGGACGTGGACACATGTTGGGGTATCCTTGGGGCGAGATAAGAGACAGGAGGCCCTTTTTCTCTTCTGTAGGGATCTAAAGAGTATGATGAGGACTCCCTGATCCCCAGTAGCCCAGCCACAGAGACCTCAGACAACATTAGCCCCGTGGCCAGCCCCGTCCACACAGGGTGAGTGTTACACAAATCTGGGACCCACTTTTCCTGCCCTTGAGAAGGAAGCCAGTCGTGTCCTGATCTACCTGTGCATCTAGGTTCCTGGTGAGCTTCATGGTTGATGCCCGGGGAGGATCCATGAGAGGGAGCCGTCATAATGGCCTGAGGGTGGTGATCCCTCCGCGGACATGCGCGGCACCCACACGCATCACCTGCCGCTTGGTCAAGCCTCAGAAGCTGAACACACCACCCCCACTGGGTGAGGAAGAGGGCCTGGCCAGCAGGATCATTGCGTTGGGACCGACGGGGGCCCAGTTCCTTAGGTGAGATATGCCCCCGTGGGGAATGTGTGCAACTAGTGTCTCCAGCCAATCCCCACCACTTCAGCTGAGACTGGAGGACCCCCACCCCCACCCCCCACCCAGGCAGCGCCCGGCATCTCATGGCTGTGGTGACAAACAGGCTTTCCCGGCCCTCTCAGGCCCATGGAGCAGTTTACGGCTCTAGAGGAGCCCACTGCTCTCAGAAGTGCTAGGATGCGAAGGAAGAGAATAGAGAAAAATTGGCTATTTGGGGGGCATTGGGTTTATTTAGGTAAATACCAGAGTGCTCATCTGGAAAGTGTTCCCCGCAGAGGGGTCCCCAAGACCCTCCAGAGGAGTGAAATGCAGGTAGTCTTCTCTGGTCACTGGAGCTCTGCTGTCCACCGAGAACACTGAGAGGCTTCAGCCTCCGTGGCCCAGGGCAGCTCTGTTCCTCCACAGCCCTGGCCCGTAGGCCCTTCTCCCCTGCGGGCTGTGAGCAGGGCTCGCTGCCGTCCCCTTTGCGGCCGGCCGTCTGGGCCTCCCCTAGGACACCCTCCGACCGCTCGCCATGTTCTACCTTAGCCCCGTGATTGTGGAGATCCCCCATTTCGCCTCGCATGGCCGCGGGGACCGTGAACTGGTGGTCCTGAGGAGTGAAAACGGATCTGTGTGGAAGGAGCACAAGAGCCGTTACGGAGAAAGCTACCTGGACCAGATCCTTAACGGCATGGACGAAGGTGAAGGGGCCCGAGAGTCCTGGGAAGACGGGATCTGGGGTTGCACACTCGGGGTGCTCTGTCAGCACTGCCTGGGGTTGGGGAGGCTAAGAGAGGCTGGAGATGATGGTCCTTATGACCAAGCGCTGGATCCCCAGGACCTGTGGGTGGGCATAGTGCCCTCCCACCCATGCCCAGCGCCTCTTCCACGGGGCCTCTGGGCCCAGACACTCCTCCTTCCAGGCCACCTCCCTGCCCAGCCCCTCGGAAGGGTGTGTGTCTGGGATGTGGAGACCCTAGAACCACAGTCATAGCTCTTCCTGAGGCAACTTGTGGTTCCAGAGCTGGGGAGCCTGGAGGAGCTGGAGAAGAAACGCGTGTGCCGCATCATCACCACCGACTTTCCCCTGTACTTCGTGATCATGTCCCGGCTCTGCCAGGACTACGACACCATCGGTCCCGAAGGGGGCTCCCTGAAGAGCCGGCTCGTGCCCCTGGTACAGGCAACGTTCCCCGAAAACGCTGTCACCAAGAAAGTGAAGCTGGCTCTGCAGGTGACGGGCTCGGGGTCCCCTTCCTGGCCAGTTCCTCCGGCGACATGGGAGCCAGGCTCTAGAGAAGACTCGCCCCCCCACCCCCCAGGACAGTCCCACACTTTGGTCTGGGAAATCTGAGCTGGGAGGGAGGGGGTGAGCAGATGTTTCCCGAAGAGTAGACAGCCCAGTGTGGCCACTGAGTGTGGCCAGCTGTGTGGCCAGCTGTGTGGTCAGCTGTGTGGCCTAGGGAGGATTCCACAGGAGGCCCAAAGTGGGCCAAAGTGCTGAGGGAAAGCATGGAAATGGGAGATGGAAGGAAAGGTTCAGAAAGACACGAAGCCGCGGGGTCATGCCTAGGTGGACACCATTCCCATCAAAGTGTGTGGGGTGGGGGGGTAGAGGTGGGGTCAGCTCCTCACCTGAACTTTGAGGGTACCTGGCTGACCCTATCTGACTTGCCTGGGGCTGAGCCTTCCTGTCTTCGTCCCTTCGCAGGCACAGCCTGTCCCAGACGAGCTGGTGACCAAGCTCCTAGGGAACCAGGCCACGTTCAGCCCCATTGTCACGGTGGAGCCAAGGCGCCGGAAATTCCACCGTCCCATTGGGCTTCGAATCCCGCTGCCTCCCTCCTGGACTGACAACCCCAGGGACAGCGGGGAGGGGGACACCACCAGCCTGCGCCTACTGTGCAGCGTCATCGGTGAGTGATGCTCCTGGGGCCCGCTTCCTTGGCAGCAGCTGGTTTGGGGGCATGCCCTGGCTGGTGCAAAGATAAAGCCAGCAACTACCTTAGGCTCTTACAGCTTCCCCGGGGGATGGGAGAAAAACGACCTGAGTATAAGTCCATAGGATCTGAGGACAAGTCCTCGGGACAGCGTGGGGGCATAGAGTGCTCAGGTTTTGCAGACTAAGGGTCACCCAGGCGGTGCCACTTCTGCCCTAGCGCAAATTGGTAAGCTTCGTGCTTGTGAACGGAAAGTAGCCCCCAGCCCTGTCCTGCTGCTGCTGTTGTAGGTGGGACTGACCAAGCCCAGTGGGAAGATATAACGGGAACAACCAAGCTTGTGTATGCCAACGAGTGTGCCAACTTTACTACCAATGTCTCGGCCAGGTGAGACTCGGCCCTTCCTCGCCCAGCATGGTGGCTGCAGGGAGCCACCCCCGCGGCCTGGCCTGCTCTCCCAGGCTTGAGATTCCTTCTCTGCTGCTCCCCCCCTCCACCCACCCCACCACCCTCCACCCCCACCCCCACCCCCTGCCAGACAGGGTGCAGTCGCTGCTACGTGGCCACGCTTGCCACTCGCCGCCTCCTTTTAGGTTTTGGCTATCAGACTGCCCTCGGACCGCGGAGGCTGTAAACTTCGCCACCCTGCTGTACAAGGAGCTCACCGCGGTCCCCTACATGGCCAAGTTCGTCATCTTTGCCAAGATGAATGACCCCCGGGAAGGACGGCTACGCTGTTACTGCATGACGGACGACAAAGTGGACAAGACCCTGGAGCAGCACGAGAACTTCGTGGAGGTGGCACGGAGCAGGGACATAGAGGTGTGGCTCCGGGTCTCCTCATGACAGCCGCTGCACACAAGGAAATAAAGCCCTGGGTTTGATAAGGGGGCTTTCATGGCTGGCTTCTGGGACACGATGGCCAGGCCAGGCCAGGAGTCCTCCCTCTGAAGTCATAGGGACTGTTAGACCTTATTGCTTCAGCTCCTCTCCCAAGCATCATCTTAGATAAGTTATGACAAACACTGCAGGCATCTCAGGGACTTGTAGCATAAGAATTGGCATTTGCGCCAGGCAGTGGTGGCGCACGCCTTTAATCCCAGCACTCAGGAAGCAGAGGCAGGCAGATCTCTGTGAGTTCGAGGCCAGCCTGGTCTACAAAGCGAGTTCCAGGAAAGGCGCAAAGCTACACAAAGAAACCCTGTCTTGAAAAACAAAAAAAAAAAAAAAAAAAAAAAAGAAGAAGAATTGGCACTTGCTGAAGTTCGTATGAATCTGGCACAATTGAAAGTAATTTGCGAGGCTGGAGAGCTGGCTCAACAGTGAGGAGCACTTACTGCTCTTGCAGAGGACCTGAGTTCGGATCCAGGACCCGTATCAGACATCTCACAACCACCTGTAACTCTAGTTCCAAGAGGTCCAGTGCCCTCTTCTGGTTTCTGTGGGTGCCTGCATATGCGCGCATGCGCGCATATGAAATCCTTCTTTCTTAAAGTACCTTACTCATAAGATAGGGCGTGGCTCCCTTAGCTGTGGGCACCTTTGTTACCCCAGTGTACACACTGGGAAGCTAAGACCGGGAGAGAGAGGGTTAAAGTCACCCTCAAGCTGCAGAGACCGTAGCTATAGGATTTGACCCAAATCCCTGCTTCTACCAGCAACCCTGGGGTGGGGTAGCATCTAGGAAAGCAGGGGCCATGTGGATAAGTAGAAGAGAGGATGGGAACAGCATTTGAACTTATTACCATCCCAAGATTCTCTCCCATGTTTATATAGTGAGCTAGGGACTGTCTGAGGGTCTGGCCTCGGAATCTTAGCTGGACTTACCTGGGAAAGCTGATGTCTTAGAGTTTCGATTGCTGTGATTAAACACCATGACCCAAAGCATTGGGGAGGAAAGGGTTTATTTCAGTTTACAGTTTATCACTATATCAGTCTATCTTGGAAGGAAGTCAGGGCAAGAACTCAGTCAGGAACTTAGAGGCAGGAACTGAAGCAGAGGCCATGGAGGAACGCCGCTTACTGACTTGCTCCTCATGGTTTGCCCAGCCTGCTTTTATATACAACCCAGGACCACCTTGCCCAGGACTGGCACTGCCCATAGTGAGCTGGGCCCTCTCACATCAATCAGCAACCAAGAAAATGCCCTGCAGGTTTGCCCACAGGCTTTCTTTAATAGAGGTTTCCTCCTCTCACGTGACTCTAGCTTGTATCAAGAAAGAGAGAGAGAGAGAGAGAGAGAGAGAGAGAGAGAGAGAGAGAGAGAGAGAGAGAAGG